GCTAAAAGTGGGGAAGTAAGGCTACAGAAGGTGCAAAATGAAGAAAGTAAAAAAGCAGCGGTTATTAAAAACAATGATGGAGAGAAAGAAGAGAGAAAGGTTCGAGAAAGAGGATAAAAATTGAAGGAGAAGCAAGTAGGAGGAGGGGGAGAGTGCTGAGGGAGCAAAGTGAAGGAACAATCCCCTCGCCTCCTCTCTCCTCCCCTCCAGCATCACTACTTTCTTTCTCCTGCAGCTTTTCCTGCCTTGGCCACCATGTCCTGCGCCACCCTGCTACTACTGCCTCACCACTGCACACATACAGAGGGGGAAGAAAGCGAGAAGGAGAGGGGAATGAGGGAGGGAGTGAGGGGAGGGGTACACTCACACTCACACACACACATGCTCACCTGGCTACAATGAAAAGACTGAGAAAAAACACACACACACATTTTGGAGCCGAAAAGCAACTTAATTTTCTAAACCTTTTAGGGCAGGAGATCACGTCTGCAGATAGATATGGAGAACGGGTCTCAGAGAGGAGAAGCGCACGCGCGATGCTCGTGCACAAAGACTGCACTGACGCTAATATATATTAGCAGAAACACTGCAGCAAGAGGGGGAGGGAGCACGAGATTATGGGATGCATTGACTGTGAGGTACCAGCAGCAGCACCGGGGTGGGGATGCTAGAGAGAGAGAGAGAGAGAGAGAGGAGGAGGAAAGAGAGGAATTTGGAGGAGTGCTGACTATGCGGAACAGAACGAGCAGTTGGCAGAAAAAGCGACAAAAAAAATAAAAGAACCATTACCAATCGCAGAGAGGGAGATGGGAAGAGATGAGAGACACTTAGATGTGCTGGAGAAGGAGAAGAGGGAAAAAAGTAGGGGTAGGGAAGGTATAGGACAAAGTGAAGAGTGGTGGGGCAATGAAAGAGAGGAGCCAAAAACAGGTGGGGGAGGAGGAGGAGAAGCACAGAGAGGAAGACCTTGCAGTGGTTCAGGATAGCACCTGAATGTACGTGAAGGCATGTGTGTAGAAGGAGAGGGAGGGAGATGTCCTGCAGTACCAGCAAAACACATGAAAACAGCAGAGTGATTAAAAGAGGGCGAGCAGAGGAAGGAAAACCAGTGTATGGATGTAAAACAGACACACAGCTGAGCTGAATGGCAAATGTGCCGCTCGGGTGGGGGGAGAGGAAGGCTTTACAGGCAAGTGTGTAATGTATGTTTATGTATGCGCGCGTGTGTGTGCGAGGGAGAGAGGAGAGACAGCGCAAATTACGTATGTGTTTCTGGTGTGCAGCCATTTTTTTCCCACCAGCTACCTCATCAAAGGATGTAACCACAAGGCTTCACGCTGTTCCATCCATATCGCCTCCCTCCCTCCCTTCCTCATCCCCCCTCGCTCTCTCCCCTCTCGCGCACTCCCCAGTGCTGAGGAGACCCCAGCAGGAGAAACCGAAGCACTGCAGCATGGTAAAAAAGCACTGCGGTCACCTCCCCTTTTAGTGCGGTGTCACACCACGCTCTGTCCTCCCCCCACCTCCCCCTTTTCCACTGTCACTGCACCTCATGCTCTGACTCTCTTTCTGCCAGGAGAACAGAAGATGTGTGTGGGTGTTTGTGTCTGGATAGTGGCACGGGGTTGGGTAGAGTATGAATAGATATGAATAGCAGGAATTACATGAATGGATGCAAAGGAAGCAACAACAACAAAAAAAGGAAAAGAAAAAAGGGTGTGTATGCAGAGAAAACGGGGCTCTGAGCAGCTCTCAGACAGCTTAATCTAATGAAAAATATGATGTAAGCGGGCACCACACATCAAAAATAATAATAACAATGACAAAGCTCACTAGTGGCCAATTCCCAGAACATGAATTAAAGAGCCAATCAATTAAGGAGGCATAAAGGAAATGGCCAATCAACCGGAGGCATCTCCTCCACTCAGCAACACCAGTGTGTAGATCTCC